AATACAAAAGATCTTTTTTAGATCACCGTTCGAAACAGCTCAACTATCATTAAAGAAAATTAAAACAAGGCTTTTTTCAAGAATACATATTTTTTAATGTATAATCGAATTTTTAGTTCATTTTTTCAGCAAAATGTGACGTTCAGCTGAGTCAAATTTCACTTGTTCRAGAGTGACCTGCACATATTCCTCGGGCATACGTATATATATTTGCATTAGTAATATCAGCGTGGGTTATACAACTTACAACTGTRCGTACTGATAGATATGATTTGTAGTCAATGGTTAGCTATTAAATACTTTGAACATTGGATTTGATGCCTAATGTAGACAAAAATTACGACTGGAAAACATACCGTATTGAAATGTCGGGCTTTGAAGTTTTCAAAGAYGCGATATATCGTTATTACGTATATCCTCTACTGAATAAGGCCTGTTTTTTTCTTTCTTCTTTTAATGGCAAACCATTGCATATATACAAAGTTCCTCTGTGCTGTCTACTTAAATAAACGATATAACAATCTTAGTAACAATTGTGGTGTAGGCTTACTCCTAGATTGGGAACCCTTAGCTCTTTACCTACAACTGGGCTTCCTGTGCACATATTACAAGTTTAGTTTAGTTTTGTTGCTGCCAGTAGTTTCTTGGTGTTGTATAAACAGCTATAAACAGCTATATATGTGAAAAAATGCCATTTCGTGAAGGCTAAGAAAAGTCGAGTTTGACTTATTCCATGTGAAAACATTCACATATTTGGATGCTTTGTCGAACCTCGTTCTAGGAGTCCGCGCTCCTTTTGGTCTCCGCTAAGTAGCGAAGGGCTATTTTATCGACTTGCCGTTTTATTCGCCAAWTATGGCAGTTGTATTCGCCCAAAGCACTTCGTTAGGCCGCGCAAACCAAAAGGAACACGAGATTTGGTAACGAGAACAAGACCAGACATTTGATTTTGTGGGTGCACTTATGTTACCTAGTCCGGTGGGATCCCTACGGTACCATGGACTGTGCTCACAATTAGACGCCATTACGGTTTTTTTATACTCAAATGCAGGTTTACCTTCAGGAGCAGAAGACGACCGGGTCTACTYCTCCTGAAAATTTAAAGGTTTATGTCAAACTTTACCTCCTTTTTCCTGAMTTGTCAAGCTGAGTAAAAATGTTCCAAATTTCATTAATCCGGCGYCTAAATCAGCTTATTAAGTATTTTATGTACCAGAAAAAGCGCTRAAAATCTTCAAAAGTATAAAGAAAAATCTTCGAAACTCGCAAAACAAAAAAAAGACTCTTTTAAGCAGTGGCAATCATTCTTTYGTTATCAAAAAATCATGTTAAAAGCACATTGGATTTGACGCCGTAAAAAAATAAATCAGATGTCTTTCGTGAATAACTCTTATTGGGATCCCTGTGTCTGAAGACATTATTTAAATACATTATGAAGGAACAGAGATTCTTCTTCGAATTCATCAGGAGCGTCGTCTTCCAATGTAATCTCAAGCTTCTGAACCACAGCATTCAACATGTTTTGTAGCTGTTCTTGGGCCAGCTGCATTTCCTTTAGTCTCGCCTTGACAGTTTTTACACTCTTCCCAATAACCTCATTCTGTTCCTCTAGTTTTTGGATTGGCGACTGAAATATAAAACGAAAATTAATTGAAGAAGTTGGGAGACTAGAAATGCGATATTTTTGGTTTGCACGTTACGTCATAACCGCCATGTTGGTGGTATAAAGATTCCTCATAAAATGTTCTTAATTATTTCCACCAACATGGCTGACAAGTCTTTGGCTTTTGACTGSCTTGGAAATAGTTACAAACCATCAATCAGCGCCAAGGTAAAGAAAATGTACTATCAGTTTTCTACCTCGTTTGTCCTTATTTTGAGACTGAAGCGAGATGACGTTTTACCCCCGACTCTATAMCATAATAGTTTTCAAAATTCTTTCATATTAAAATTTTTGATGCCTTAGAGAATACGGGAACAATAGTTATAATTAAAGAACAAAAGCAGTGTGAAAAGTATTATGGTCTAAAGACGGGGGTAAAACGTCATCTCGCTTMAGGCTTGTTGCATATTACATTGCTTATTCAATTGACTCATTACGGCCCCCTTTTCCGCTTCTTAGAAAATAGGTGGCTCTTAAATCCCATTCCCCCTGCATTTGTTTTGACCCAGAACACCAACCTTTTCGAGTTCAAGGGCTTCTCTCATTTCCTGTGGTGTTAATGGCGGCTGACTCAAAAATCTCAAAAATCCTTTATTTTGGTTCGGGAAAAAACTCTCTTTGCGTTCGAGAAGCCTTTTACGCATCTTACGAGGAAACGCTTTCTCGACATCAAGAGCTAAATCAACCTAGAGAAAATAAATTGGAACATCAGGGCGAGAGGAAGAGGAGGGGTCTTAATAGTGTATAGTAATCAGTCCAGAATATTATCGATATTATTCATACTTTCTTTTCCAAAATGGCGTAACCCGGACAGCTAGTTTAGTAAATTTAAGACCAACATTTTGACTATTTTCTGCATGTCGGACCACGTGACCTGCCGTTCCCTTGAAAGGAAGTCCTTCATTTGTTAACGCTTGAGGATCAACGTTAAGAAAAATCTCAARACTTGTTGAGTGTTTTGCCTTCACTTATTCTTTCCGAGCAAAACCACAATGTAGGGCTTAAAATGACCACCCGCAAAATATTGGTGATAATCGATAACAATTCCTCTAGCAAAAACAAATATTTCTTTAAATAGCGTAACGTACTATTATTACCAGAATTCTTTGCACCCTCATTAGCACCAACTGAATTGGAAAGCAAATTCGCGAAGCATCATGGTAACTGCATATTGTTGTATAGTATTTGACAACTGTTCATGGAGTAAAGTTTTGCCAGTCCTTACCAACATTGCTTGACGTTTAAGTGTAGCCTGGTCCTGTACGCCTTTGATGTCGTCTACGGCCAAACCAATCTATTATAYATATTTAATAAAGGTACTTTGATGAATACAGTTTAATAAGAAAACTAGTTGTAAAAGACAATAGAGAGTTTTAGATTTACGTTCACGGCAAACGTGAAACGTCAGTTGACCAGTAAAAAATTCTTTYAAATTACTGAAAAAGAATCGCAAAAAAGTCCTAGTAGAAAAACAAATTATTTTTCAGAAGTATTTGAGCTTGGTGAGAAGGTTTGTAAAAGGTAAAGTAAAATACAGGAAAACTWTGAAAACGCGGTCACGTTTGCCGTTTGCGGGGAGAAAAAAAATTCAATCTAAAACTCTCTAATGTTTCGATGTCATCCCGAGATGACCGCGAAACGTTGTCTTTTACAACTAGTTTTCTTATTAAACTATTATATATAATGTTGAAAATATTTTAGCATAGGTATTTCACGAGTTTTGGAATATAAATAMATCACTACTAATAAATAAATAATGCTCGACTTGACGACTAACGCCAAGCAATCTCGTCTCTAGAGCCTGCGTTCACCGTGGTCAGYAGTGATCAAAAACTAAGTGCTGACCAAGATTAACGCAGACATTGAAAAAGAGAATAACTTTACATCATTTATCATTCACGGCTAATAAAAAAGCTACGCTCTGAAAAGGTTTACGTTTTTTAAAGTGTGACATTTACACACATTTTTTCACTGGCTCATAAAGAGAAAAATAAAGAATTTTTTTCTACAACATGAATAATTTTAMGCATGCGCATTGTACTTACCAGCAGGTTCATCAGAATAAGAGTCATAACAATGAGGAAGATGACAAATAAAGCCCAGCTCAATGTAGGCACACCAGGCCCAAAGAGATCGTCGAATTCAAATTCACCAATCATCATGACTCCTGTCTTGACCAAAGACCGACCGACACCCTGAAATGAGTCCTAGAAAAAAAATGTTCAGTTACATTGAGATTTCTGAAAATGACGCTTTGCCTTGTGTGTGTGTGTTTTTTTTAAAGTAACTATTAAAAATCGTTTCCATTTAAAAAAATAAGAATGTCAAAATCMTCTAGTCTTTTCAAATCATTTGTACTAATTTAATTTGTTCAAAAGTAGAAGACGCCGACTAACCATTTGGTACTGAATGATATACCCACTATATAGTGGTGGAAATGGGAAATGCTAATCAAATTACAAGGTCGAATCCTCATTWCTGATTGGTTGACCTTGAGTTCGTTCTGAGCATTTCCTTACGTTAAACATGTTAATCTTCTTTAGAYACTTACAGTGTTAGAAAACAGCATGAAGAACGAAAGAGCAAAGGCGACGATGAACAGGAAAAAAATCAAGGAGAATTTGGTGAATGTGTAAAAGATGTCAGTGAACATGACAATGTAGATGCCAAGTTTGGGGAACTTCCTGATGAACAGAAGAAGGCTCRTCCAAGAACTGAAGACGGACACAGCTCCAACGCTTTGATGCCACTCACTGCACCTGAAACGACGAAAAACTAAAATATATAATCTTTTAAAAACATCTGAAGATTTTTAAAATGTACTGCCTCATTGCAATAGACCTCTATAGTACACTACGTAGGCTACTCCAAGGAAAATTCTGGTGTACTGATTACAAGGGACTAGGGTGTAATCTATTCTCCGCCGTAGGGCATGCGATTCTTGCTTTGATCACTAAAAACACGTCAAGAGCGAGCGCGCGCAAGTTGATGACGCACGGAAGAAGGGTAAGGTAAGGGTAAGGTAAAGGTACTGCATCTGGTAACTAAAAATAGCCAAAYCGGGAATATACATGGCGCGCGCGTTATTAAGAAGTTTCCMTCCCTTATTTATGCTCTCTTGATAAGAAACAATCCAAATCCCAAACGAAAAGCAAAGGAATTTTATTGTTCTTTCATCTAACCACAAGCAGCCCAAGATGGTATCATTGGCGAGCGCAGGTAATGGTGCAAAACCTCTATAGCGATTCCTGTGGTATGGCGATGTAAAGCCTGAGGGTAATCCAGTCTGCTAGTAMGACGCCTGCTCCGTAGTTAGACCAGTCTCTCTTACAAACGGGAATCACGGGAATCCTGTGGTGTGGTGATGTACAGTATACGCAGGAACCCCACCCTGACATTTTCATTATATAAACTTATTACTTCGTGCATGCTTATGCCTGCTTACTTTGAAAGTCCAAAGGAATCTGAGCCTTTGAATTCAGTTGCAACGTATACAATAGACGAAACGTATGTACACCATTCCAAGAGATTCTCCCAGGCTAGATAATGTTGGAGTTGATAAAACATCTGGAACAACTACAAATACAGAAAAACCGTAAACAACGTTTAGTATAAACAAACTTTCGGACTGTTGCAAATCGTGATATTTGATTGAAGTCTTTCAAGGATTCCAGACAATTTTTGGTGTGAAAAATGCAATCTGTTTCTGTACAGTAGTGTGTAGTCTCCTTTGCAGTCTTTCTTCGCGTCGGTCCGAAACTGAGGAAAGCGTGTCGGACCGATGTGTGTGGTGTGGTGAGATATAGAAAGTTGTGTTGTGGTATGCTGTGGTCTGGTGTGATATGGTACGATGTATGTGTGGTCTGGTGTGATATGGTGTTTTTGATGTGGTATTCCGTGATATGGTATGATATAGTGAGGAGAGTGTGTTGTAGTGTAATGTTGTGGTGTGGTGTGGTAATGAGTTGTAATAGAAATATGAAGTTAAGATTTCGAGTTGATAAAAATGATAGCAACGATGATAAGATATGATTAATGAAAACTATTGTGGAATATATATTTTAGTAGTTTGGAATGTGTGTTGAAATATAGTATGTGTAGTATAAATAAATGGATAAATAAACAAACAAAGAAACAAAGAAACAAATAAATAAATAAATAAATAGATAAATAAATAAAGAATTAAGTGATATGTTAAGATATGTCGTGAGTTGGGTGTCGTGTGGTTGGACATGGTGAATTGGGTGTGTGTATATTGTGTTATGCTGGTGGGGTATATTTGAGGTAGTATGGAATGTGTGGTGTGGTATGGTGTGTCGTGTGGTGTGGCGTGTTGGTTGTGATATGGAATGGTATGATGTGGTAAGGTGGGTGTTGTATGGTGTGACATGGTGACGTGAGTGGGTGTATATTGTGCTATGCTGGTGGGATATATTTAAGGTAGTATGGAATGTGTGGTGTGGTATGGTGTGTCGTGTGGTGTGGCGTGTTGGTTGTGATATGGAATGGTGTGATGTGGTAAGGTGGGTGTTGTATGGTCTGACATGGTGACGTTTGTGTGTGTATATTGTGCTATGCGGGTGGGATATATTTGAGGTAGTATGGAATGTGTGGTGTGATATGGTGTGTCCTGTGGTGTGTTAAGATGTGATATGGTAAGGAGTTGGTACTAGATTTTTACCTCCATTAGTATATGCCAACTTGCAAGAACCACGATGACTACGGATCCAACTTCGACAAAAAAAATGTAGGTTTTTGTTTTAATGTTGACCGCTGGACACGTCTTTCCTATGGTGTCATTACCAACTGTCTTGGCTGGATTTTCAGTCGTTATAACCGAGTAACCAGTAAGAAAGAACAAGAACGCAACATAAATTAACAACTTAAGGTAGTAAACAAAGCGACCGTATTTACGCCATTTGTTATGCAAGAGAAACGAAACCAAGGGGTGGCTGGCCAGTGTTTCACGTTTTCTTTTGATCTGGAAACAACAAGACAAAATATTTAGAAATCAATTACTGAGTTATCTTTCTGACCATCAATCTTGACCGACCACCTCTTAAGACTGAACATCTCCTGACTGACTACCTCTCCTGACTGACCACTTCTCTAAACCGACCACCTCACCTGACTGGCCATCTCTCTGCTCTCTTGACTGGCCACCTCTCTTCTCTCTTGACTTATCACCTCTCTATCTTGACCGACAATCTCCTGACTGACTACCTCTCCTGACTGACCACTTCTCTAAACCGACCACCTCACCTGACTGGCCATCTCTCTGCTCTCTTGACTGGCCACTTCTCTTCTCTCTTGACTTACCACCTCTGTTGACTGACCACCTATCTTGACCGACCATCTCCTGACTGACTACTTCTACAGACTGACCACCTGTCTTTACTAACCACCTTTTATCACTGACAACCTGTTGGACAATGACCACCTTTCCTAATAGGTTATTTACTGAAAACCAAATCAGCACACTCACTTACTTGTGTAAACAATATTGAGATGAGAACCATACTGACTTACCATAATCATGAGGGGATGGCTGCTTTTCTTTTCTAGTTGTTTAGTTGCCTCTTCTTTCATCGTTTCATCATCGATCATTTGGAAGCCAAACTCGGACTTCTCTAGTTGAACACTAGCTAAACTGCTCGTATCAGATCCCATGCTACTGCCGCCAGTGGTCGCGAACCAATCAGCGTACACATCCTCTAGGAATTCGTAATTCAAATCAACTTGATAGTCATGGTGATAGACTGGTAGGCCGTTGTCTGTTACACACTGGTTAAGGACAATCTCTGCAACATCTGGTTGTAAGAAAAATATGAAGTTAATATCTTGTGTTGATAGATAATGATTATTATTTCAATAGAATGATTAATGATAACGAGTAACGTCGCATCCGCTAAGAAGAGCTGTCGAGAATGGCCAAAAAAAACCCAATAATTTTCATAGTCGCCTCAATTCTATTGTTTTGTTTCTAAAGTTTCTCTTTCTATTGTATTCATCCAATAGACGATTTGCACTAACTGGTCACGTGACCCTGCCTCCCTAAAAACGAGCAGTTGTGTGAAAACGAACTTTAAAAAATGAAAAGAGAAGCGCAATAAAAGTAAGATGGCGAAGTGTCAGCTCGTGATGTTGACTATAGGATAAATGGCATTAAATATGACATGGAGTATTTATAAGGATTTGTATGGGAAAATGTGCTGGATGGCAAAGCTTTCCTGTTTCGCTTGTCATAAGCTAAAACTCCGCCACCCTACTAATATCGAGGTGCTCTTTTAATTTCTGTTCTTCATTTTAGCGCAGCTGCTCGTTTTGAGGTAAGTAGGGTCACGTGACCTGTTAGTTTAAGCCGTCTATTGGGTTCAGTGGATCTTCTTAGAGCTGCGGCATAACCATGGCAGATATGGGGGCGATGAAATTGATAATGGTGATGATAATGGTGATGATAAATTCCAAATGGATTCTATAGAATAAGAGCTGCTTTCCACAAATCTCCATTGATGATAATGATAGTGATGCTACTACTGCCGGTAATGATTGCTACTGCTGGCGATGATGATGATAGTATACTGTTGATGCTGATGATACTGATGCTGATGATGTTGATGCTGATGATGTTGATGCTGATGATGTTGATGCTGATGATGCTGCTGCCTGATGATGATGGTGATGATGATCACGATAATGATGATGATGGTGATACATAGAAGATGAAGCTGTTTAACAAAGAGTAAAAACTTAATAACAATGCAGCCTCACCAGGTAACTTCAAAATCAGTTTTCTCATAGGAGTAGTAACTTTTCCTTGTTCTAGAGTCTTGTTCCTCATGGCTTCCAACCAGTTTTTGGCTTTAACAATAGCAGCTGCCACTTCCCTGGAATCGAGTGCAAACACATCAACACTGGAAACACGGAGAGGGGAGGGGCTTGAGGTCTATAGCCTCAAAAAAATGTTGCTACTATAACAAACCCTACATTCGCAAGTCTAAGCCCCCTCGACTTTTAGTCATATATTAGTTTATTATTATTTTTTATTATAAGATATTAATTTCGAGGGTCGTCCGAGATCCTTCTATTAGACTGAATCAATCCTTGAGTACTAGTTTGGCTAGTGGCATGCATGAGTTGAAGAGCCATTTATACGAGCGTGTCTAACTTAAAATACAGAAATACTGCAACTTTAGCACGATATAGAATCTCAACTATTCACGCAAAACATACAGGGCAACAATGTTGCGTGACAGGATGTAAGATTTTGCAAGATAACAAGAAGCATCGACAAATGTAACCGGTAGTAATGTGTTATTTAAAGTATGAATAAGAAATATCCACTCACTTGTGTCCATGATCGATGGCCATGTCCAGGCAGTTTCTTCCTGTGTGATCAGTCATTGCGATGTCCGCGTTGCGTGACAAGAGTAGCACCACCATCTCCATGTGACCTGCACGGGCAGCCAAATGGAGAGGAGTAGTCTGTTGAAGCGTTAAGAAGAAAGTTTTAAGCTTGGTCTCCATAAAATCAATCAACTCTATTACATTACAAATCCCTTGTGATCGTCTCGATAAACCCGAGCTCTATCCGAAGGATCCGGGACAAAGTGCCAAATACATTTATGTGTTGGACTACACAAAAGGTTTCTGATTGGAATTGCTGGGTTTCAATCAGCCAATAAAAGTCTTTGAATCTCATTATCTGCTCCAAATGATGGTCAAACACTGACCACCATGTGCTGTCAGCCAGAAAGAATTGTATTGAAAATTTGTGATTCAACTGAAAAACATTCCGCATGAGACAGGAAATGACGTCAGGTGAAACCCAACAATTTTAAAAAGAACATGTGTTATACCCTGGTTTTGTCTTTAGGGTCGACAGGAGAATCGTAATCCAAGAGAATCGCTGCTGTTTTTACATGTCCTTTGTCTGCAGCACAATCCAAGGGCGTCCAGAGATATGAATTTCTGAGGAGAGATGGAATTCAATGTGATCAAATGGTTTTTTAAGAGAGTCAGCAGTTTGATAAAGGTACTTTTAGGAATACAATTTAATAAGAATACTAGTTGTAAAATACAACGTTCGAGATGACAGCGAAACGTTGTCTTTCACAACTAGTATTCTTATTAAAAAGTCAGCAGTTTCTCTCTTTAATGACAAATATAGTGCAGCGTCATTGGCAAGTAACTACAATACATCTGTTTCGCATTCGATGCATACCGCTAGTTTTTAAAGACCACAGACTCATTTACACAGGCTTAGCCTCGCTTAGAATGACTGACTCGGTGTGAATGACGACTGACTTAAGTATTTACTGAATGAGAAAAGGGACTATTATTGCCAAAAGTCTTTACACATTGACGTTTTTTTATACAAAGATTTTTCATACAAAGATGCAGCATTGAATCATGAGAACACGACCCCCCCCCCCCCTCGTCTCTTTTGAAACGTTTTGGAGTGCTAGGGGGGTAGGGGACAGGACAACCTAACCACACCTCAACATTGATTTGGGGGGGGGGGGGGGGGTTTAGTAATGTTAAAGTGGATTTTTGGGACGGGAATAATTATTGTTAAATATCCTCAGTGAGTTAACACATTTTGGCAGAGATTGTAGTTTCAGTTTTCCTCTCAAGCAGTTTATCAAGTGGGTCAGCGGTTTATCCATTTAATTAGTTGATTGACATATTAAGTATGACGTTAATTGCAATTTTCTAATTTGATTTTTCCTCTTTCGCAGTTGATCAAGCGTATCAGCTGCGGTTTATCCATTTCATTATTTGATTGAAAGGAAGTTTGACTTTTCTATAATTTTACCTGGCGTCGACAGGAGATCCATTCTCTAGAAGTTCACGAACACACTTCCAGTGTCCTTCCATGGCAGCCAAATGTAGTGGGGTGTTGGACGACTCGTCCTCATCGTTGATGATAGACGAATCTCTCTTTAGCAAAGCAATGACCGTCCTGGAAGCATAGGAATCAAGTTACGACAGGTAAATAGGTAAACGTACGACTAGAGCTACAATTCTTTCGCGTGAGAGGTTTTTTCAACGGCTTAAATTCATTTGATTAACGCTCATAGTTAGTGAGTCAGTCAGACCGACAGTCATCTAGACAGACTGACAGTCAGACCGACCGACCGTCATACCCTAGACAGACCGACAGTTAGATAGACAGACCAACAGTCAGACAGACAGTAAGTCCTTATCAAGTAGATAAGTCAATGCTGTTATCAATAAAATCAATTCACTAGATAAGATTTATCCGTCGGATAGCGGTAWCCAGCAATCGTACAACCGGCGCAGGCCGACATTCAAGATTTATCAGACTGTCATGTCACAACAACATACCTTGTCCTGCCATATTTAGCTGCAAGATGTAACGGTGTGTACTCCTCCTCGTTAATTGGATCAATCTTTGCTCCATTATTCAGTAACAACTATTCGAAGAAGAAAAAAAGAGAAAGGAATGAGTACTAAGAAAATTGATTCATGCTGTAACTTCGAGGCTCCGTTCTCTCTTCAAGAAATTCTTCGAGAATTTTCGGATTGCATTTTGCGTCTCAAAATACCGTATTTAGCGTTGTGAACAAAGTAACCAAGAACCATGCAATTCATTTGAACCACACCAGTGGCGGATCTAGGGGTGGGTTTTGGAGGTTGCAACCCCCCATATGAGAGCCATCGTGATTTATTATTATCATCATCATCATCATCATCATCATTATTATTATTATTCATGACAACACCAACAGCATCGCGAGTTTTATTAAAACAGGAGTGTGGGACTATACGCCGTGTGTGGGACCTGAAACAACCATGCTCGCCTGCAGCAAATAATCATTATCATAAGACCTACTTCCGTTTGGGAACCCTGTGCTACTTTCCCGCCAAACAAGTACCTCAATCAATGCTACAACCCCCACTTTGAAAAAATCCTGGATCCGCCCCTGCACACCTCTCTGTAACCAATTGTGACATAACATTTTCGATAACGAAAATTAGCATATACCAACTTGTGTACTTCCTAAGAACGCGCGCTCATTGGTTAATTGCAGGTGAATATTGTACGATATTCACCTCTGAATCTCGGAATATTGAGTCGGCAACAAAACGGCATCTGCCGGCAATCGTTTTGCTACAATTTCCGATGAGGAAATTGAAAAAAATGAAAGTAAATGCCATTACTATCAATACTAAAAAGGCAACGAAGTATGGCCTAAAAGTTTTGCTAAAAGTTTTGTTTTTATTGAATTATTATATATAAAAATAAGTTACTCTGTACACAAGTTGGTATATGCTAAAACAATTATTCGCCTCAGGTTCAGTGAATATGGACAATATTTACCTCGCCGCTCGAAGACTCGCGTCTCGGTAAATATTTCCCGATATTCACTTCGCCTTCGGCGAATAATTGCTAACTATAAAAAATTACTACTTTGAAGTTGGTACTCGGGCTTTGTTTGGGAGAGATCATTAGAAAAAAGGCTGTTACGTTTTAAATTTGGATGGCTTATTTTTTGTTGGGCTTCAAGTTAGGGTAGGGGGACTTATTTTTGGAGGCTTACGGTAATCAAGCATATCAGTATAATAACTAGATAGTCTACCTCTGCGACTACGACAAAACCTTTCTGTGCAGCAACATGCAGTGGTGTGTTTCCATAGATATCACTCTCGTTGATGAGACTATTTGATGTTGACTGATTCAGTAATTCCTGTAGGTAAACCAGATGTAGAATATTATAAAATAACTGTTAGAAATGTCGCGTTCTGATTGGTTGAGAGCGCGTGCTTTATGAATCGCACGCACGCGCAAGCGTTTTTCTCTAGTGCAAGTTACGACAAAATGTCACGTTGTCACGCAATACTGACTCTTACCTTTAACGTTTCTACACAATTCTCCTCAGCAGCCATAAATATCGCAGTTTTGTTGTGAATGTTTTTCGCATTCAGATTGGCTCCTCGTTTCAGGAGCCCAGTCACAACCAATGTATGTCCTTCACAAGCAGCTGACAGTAAAGGAGTAAAGTTGTTCTTGTCACAACTCTCGATATTTGCACCTCTGTTGGAATAAAGTAAAAGTTAGTTGGGAAATTAAAGTTGTTCTTGTCACAACTCTCGATATTTAAACCTCTGTTAAAATAAAGTAAAAGTTAGTTAGGAAATGAGTTAAAATCAAACAATCAAACTTAGTTGCGATGATGCATCACGTCGGTCGTGTCCAATCTAGGTTAAAGGATAGTTAACTATAATGAAAGCAGAGAGATCATAAGGGAATTCAAGAGAAAACCTTAAAGCAAACAAGGAGATAATAAAGAAAGATGTCCAAACTATTGAAAATTAATGAAAGATGTAACGAAAAATGCATTTATATCTCTCGCTAAAAGGTGGCTTTTGGCTGTAAAAAATAAGCTGAGGACCAAGTTTCGATTTATGAAGCGAGGTGGATATTAGCTATTCCAAGATTGCGGAAAAATTCTGGGTCAAGTTTTCATTTCAGTGCATTGTGATGCTGTTTTAGGGAACGAAATATGCGCCATCTTGGGAATATGTCCTCTAAAACAGTCCCACAACGCCCTGAAATGCCAACATAAACCAATTTTTTTAAACCTTGCAAAGGCTAATATTCTTCGTTTGCAATAGACGTCATAGCCGCCATGTTGAAAGAATTTGACAAAAGATTTTTCAGTGAATTCTTTTGTTATATCTTCCAACATGGCGGACACCCCTTTTGTTATTGTGCTTTCTTGGGATTGATTACAAACCAAGAATAGTGACTGATGCTGCCGTTTAGACGGTACCAGACGAATTTTAAAACGGTGGTCAAATAAGTTGTAAGTTTAAGGGTTCCGTTCACACGGGACTGAGCTATCCGAACAAAAATTCGTTGCATAGCCGTGCACATTTGGAACAGTTAAAGAGACGTTAAAACGATATGTACAGGTCAAATTTTTGATCGGTTTAAAATTCGCCCAGTACCGTGTAAACGCAGCCTAGATCTCTTCTTCTTGTACTTACTTATCAATCAAAAAATGAACGAACGAATGCCTGTTAAAGGCAGCTGCTCGATGTAATGGTGTTTCGTGATTAGCATTTCTGGCTTCAATGTTTGCTCCATGCTGAATTAGAAGCTTTGCAATATGGATCTCACCACTAATAGCAGCCAAATGAAGAGGTTGTGTGTTGTTATTACGCACGTCTCGTACATTAGCTCCTTTGTTAATGAGTAGTTCTACTATGTCCAAGAAGCTACCGTCTGTTGCCACATGCAAGGCACACTCCTTCTCAGAGTTCCTATCCGCCAACATGGCGCTTACATATTCTTCCCCGTGCTGTTTTTCTCCCATCGCCAGAAGAAGTTGAACAACATTTAAGTGTCCTTCAGAGCAGGCGAAGTGGAGGGGCGTGGAATTCTCGTAATCTTTGGCTCTGATGTCGGCTCCTTTGTCTATGAGAGCTTTGACGATTAATTCGGCTCCAACGGTGGCCGCTGCATGCAGAGGGGTACCACTGCTACTGTCGCGTTCCTGGGTGATACCAAACGCGATTATAAAGAAGAAAAAGAAGAAAATGGACGACTTGCATTGAAGGTCAAGTGACCCTATCTCCTTAAAACAAGCAGTTGTGACCATTTCTCCCAATGTTAACATAATAACCTGAAACTACGCCCTCTTACTAATGTCGTGGTGCTCTTTTCATTTCAATGTCCATTTTGGCCGAACTGCTTGTTTAAGGAAGGTTGGGTCATGTGATGACCTGCTAGTGCATGTTGTCCATAGAGAGAAAGAAGCAGGATGGAAGGAAAGAAAAAAAGGAACAAACAAGAAGGAAAGAAAGAAGAAACAATGAAGGAAGGAATGACTAAAGAAGGAAAGAAGGGAGAAAGAAACAACAGAACAAAAAACGAAAGAAAGAAAAAACAGAGGAAAGATAGAGGGAGACAAAAAGAGAGAATGGAAGAAAGAAAGGAAGGAAGGAAGGAAGGTAGGAAGGAAGAAAATAAGATGTAAATTCCTACAGTGTAGGTACTCAACCCCATCACAGTGCTTAAATAAACATGTAATGGTTTTGTATCATGCAATACACTAAAAACAATAATGGCTGCCACTTCATTATTATAATTACGAATTACATTAAAATTATAGATAAGAATGATATCAACTAAGTTAAAAAGTTTGCTTGCATGATAGCGGTGTTAATTTTTAAGGATGTAATTTTTATTTCTGCTAATCAATGGCTGCCATTATTGCATTCAGTCTATAGTTTTATGCTTATATTGTTCATGTACTTACATCGACTCCTACACCACTGTGTTGCAATAGCTTTTTTGCACCTGCAACATTATTCTTGTTGGCTGCATAATGCAGTGGTGTTTGCCCATAACTATCTCTATTGTTAATATCACAATCGAGAGACAGTAGATAGTCTATTATGGACTCTCCATCATCACCTGATAGACTTATCGCATCCTCTGAAAAGGCACGCGTGGGTCTTAGTTCATTTTCAGATAGAAGGTTATCTACGTTATCTTCTACGCTTGCACTAATGGCTGATTGGTGTCTTGCTTTGGACGTGACAGAGTGGAACCTGGCTGCATAATGCAATGGTATTGCACCATCTAGACCCTCTATGTTGATATCTAAAGTAGACACAAAATAAGAGGGCTTGTCAACAAAATTCATGAAGAAAAAAGTGTCAATCAAAGTTTACACAAGGTGGTTATGGTTGTCATGGTGATAGCAGTGATAATGATGATGATGTTTATGATAATGATGATAGCATGTAGTAGTGATTAAGATTATGGTGGTGGTTGTAATAATGATGGTGGAGGTAGCAATGACAATAATAGTATGTGGAATGATGATAATGATGTGACAGAGTGGAACATAGCTGGCAAGGGTTTCACATGGTGAACCAATAAAACAAACAGATACCCAAATGATTGACCATCCTAGTATGTCTTCCAAACATATGTTATGCATTTGAGAAAAATATGTACTATACTTAACTTACCAGCACCATTATCTACAAGCAATTTGACAATATTCAGATGGCCATATCTGACGGCATAATGAAGTGGAGAAATTCTATCATCATCTAACTTGTTTATGGCATTATAACGACGAGCTGATGATGCACGACCAAGTTTAAATATTTGATGGTTGATAACATCTACTCTCCCATCACGAGCAGCCTGGATGAAAAAATAATATATTTATTATTAATTTCATCATTAATGTTTAGGACTTGAGTGATTTTTTCTGGATATATATTAAGGAATATAAAATGTTCACATATCTCGATCTGTACTGTGATATAAACATGTTGGGAGCTGTAAAGCATGATCAACAAAAGCAAGCTTAGGAGCTACAGCTCCCAAAGTGTTTACATCACAGTACAGAGACATAAGCAGCCAGTTTATATTGTTTTTATAAAATATTTTTGAATGATTTTGCATGAACATGTCTCTGTCCTCTGATATAAACATGGTAGCCAGCCAATTAGTGCATGCTTGATATCTCAAATAATTTATAATTAAGGAATATGAATTAAAAGTGTGTGCATGCATATCTATGGACGGTCATATGAACATATGCTGGGAGCTGTAAAGCAAGAGAGATTAGTTAAGCAGGCTATTATAGGAACACAAGGTATAGCCAAGTGTTTTTCTTGATTTTCGAGTGCTCTACAGCTCTCAGAGTGTTTATACAACAGCACAGAGGCACACTGTAAGCTGGCATTTTATCTTGCTTTTATAAAATATTTTGAACAATATTGCACAAGCGTGTCTCTGTTGTCTGATATAAACAGGGTTGCCAGCCAAGCAGCATGTGTGTTATATTTTACATATAAATATTTTTAATAATAATAATAATTACTAATAAACAAGGCAGTATACCAATAATGAAACTATTGATTTCTTAATCTACTAGCATTAATATTACATAATAATTATTAAACTAGCTAGATGTTTAGGAACTGTATAGGTCAAAACATTAATGACAAAATTAAATATTCAAAACCAAGTAACAAAATTCATTGAAAAGGCTGGGAGTCATGATCTATATTATTTGTCAATGTAGTGTGGATCCATGAGGCATAGCCGATTATTGTCAATAAGAGGACAGACACATGAAAAACTAATGTCAATTTGTTTTTTTACAATAATAAACAGGATAAAAACTTTTTTTAGTGATTAACAACCAAAGAAAAGATAGCATGATCATTAATGGATGTCAGCTTTTAATTTCCAGCTGGGTGTACTGTTATTGATGATAAAAAATAATCAATAAGCGCACAATAAATTTGTAAGTTATGGTTAAAATATATATAATTTCATTGACAGTTTTATTGAAAGTATTTTCATTTATTAGTAGCTGGGGTAAATTTCAAAGTAGTGATCCATCTTAATTCTCCAATTTCAAATTTAATTTTGAATCTTAATCAAATTAACTTTTTATAAACAATCAAAAATGAAGAAATTGTAAATAAAGATCACTTCAGATTAGATAAATTATATATATATAACATTTTTCAATATGGAAAGAGGGTACATTAGGGGGACGTGACACTAGAATTTAGCGGGTGTCTTTAAAATTTTAAAAAGTACAGAAATTTAAACAGATATCATATACACACTCAATTGAAGAATCGTTGTCGGGTTCAGAAACATAGAACATAAAAGCTGAGACAGAAATGGCACACGGGAAATGACATAATTATATTATAATTTATTCATTTGCGCCATCCATGCAGTTGGTTTAAAATGCCAAACGAGTATTGAAAACAGCGGATGATGCCACTGGTCTCAGGTAACAGCATGCATCTAATTAATGTACTTTCTATGTGCCATTTCGGTCTCAGCCTCTGTGTTCTATGTTTCTGAACCCCACAATGATTCTTCAATTGAGTGTATAAATGATAGGTATGACTCATGTATGACAAACTCTTGTGAATGAACATGTATGTATGTACACCCACACAATGAAACATGCAGTGTTCTCGTTTATGGACCAATGCCTTTTCTACGTCATATACATTTTTGGAATTCAGTGAAAAACAGTGTTGTTTGTCGATACATGTTTGGAATCCACTATTAGTATTATTTAATATAGTTAACATTAATGGCACATCTAAGTCTCTTAATTAAAAAAAGCTAAGAATAATTTTCTGAGAGAGGGATATAAGTCATACTATCTTTAGAAATAAAAAGATATAACTAGCTAAAAACTAGTGTGAGCTATATCTTTAGAAATGTTTCGAAAGTGTCTGTCAGGAGATCATTTTTGAGAAATTTCATCAAATTCAACATGAAACAACGAAGACAGCATTCAAAGTAAATGTAAAACTTTATAGTTAAATAAATGAAGCTATAATATAAACTCATAAGTAAACACGCTTGTACACGTAATAAAGTGTTGAAGATAAAATGAATTACAGTACTTTACTAGCAAAGTTTATAGTTCGGTTGTACTTTCGTATTATCATACCGAAAGGTATGTTAACTTTTTAATATTAGCTTTGTCGGAGAAAATCGTAAGTTCTGTATCAAGATCTCGAATATTACTGTCCTGAGAATCGAATGAAACTCGATTAATTAAGTTGCAATTCGATCTCGTAGTACAGTTTACCAAACAAAAAAGTAGAATCTTTGGTTTTATCGATACAAATGCTTTCTAAAAGACTACGAACTTCATTTTTAGTCTTTCAAAAGACTACAATTGTAGCAATGATCCAAGTACAGAAAGAATCAGATTTAGGCTCCCTTCATGTTCAATACCTGATGAAGAGAGATGTGTGAAAATTCACTTGTATCTGTAGCTCCTTTAGGAAGAACAACATCTACTTTTTCTGGTTTGACTGGTTGAACTGGCTCAACTTGGGTCATTTCTGGGTCACTGTCAGTTGGGATAAAGTTTACCAGCTCTATGGACATGATGTAGATAGCTTGGGCCTGCTAGGTAACACCAGCAAAGCTTAAAATATACAGGTTGGAGTGAAAGCGTATGAAGTTATAAATATTGATCGAACGATCGCTATAGCAGCGAGACGAACGAGGACTGGAAAAATAATGTATTCAGTCACTCATCAGTCACGCAACGCATCAGAAGCCAATGATTCTTTATCTTGCTGCATTTGCTATTACTAATACAAAAATCGATATATACTAAAAAATATTTGATGAAATTAATACAATAAAAAAAATTAGGACAGCCTTTGAGAATAATTATATAAATGCTGGCAGGTTCAGTCTAGGGCATTAGCTGGGCTTCCTGTGGTGCATCGTTAAAGATGTACTGGAGTCAAAAAAATCCGGTCTCGTAGTCAGTTTTGGAAAAGAATGGTTTACCTTTCAGAATATGATTCCTTCGTTTCTTCCCCTTGCATCTGATCAGCTTTCCATCAAGCTGAAAGATAAAGGTAAGTCTTACTAACATAATAACACAACCCTCAAAAATTCGACAAATAAAACGGAATTTTTTTCAATAATGAGCAATAATGGCAAAAAGCAGCAAAACTAGACTTCCGTATGAGTTTTGATATTAATTTTCGTTTTGGGTTAACACTCAAAACCTTTTTTAAACAGTTAGAAACTGATGTACTATGATAAAATGCCTGTTTGAAGCGGTATTTTCAATTGTGCAAAGATGTTTTGTTGCATTTGTTGCTTTTTTATAGAAAATATATGCAAATGAAGGCCTAAACCTCATTTTTGATTCAAATTGTTCCCTTGGGTTTACACTTTGATTCCACTTTCATCGGTCATCTTCACTTCCAAACAATCTAAACTTTCTGAATAACAATATTTTTAGCCTTGTACGACAGCTTTCCTTCAATTAAACAGTTTTTGGCGCTCACTGCTTGAATACGAAAATAATTCTCTCTTAAGTTTGTCATCGACATGTTCAGATCGAAAGAGGAAAAGTGAAAGCGAAAGTACTCTTTTCCGCCTGAAAAGAAAAAAAAGTGGTATTAAAATGAGATCTAAATTTTAAAATCTATAGTATCTTAATGATATATGTTATATCAGACTTAGGTAAGAGGTCAAAACAATTGTCCGCAGTAGGGACCCGATTTAGGGTGGTGGGGTATTGCCCGCCACCACTTACCTTTTCATGGATGGGGGTGGGGGGTATATGCCGGTACCCACCACCTCCATACACCAGTCTATTTCACATAATTTTCTTAGCTTAATATTTTTTCTCTGGTTCGATGGCAGAGGTCACGTGTGCGTGTGCGGGGGGGGGGGGGGGGGGGGGGGGGGAGGGTGGCGGTGAGGGGGTGGGGGGGTGGGGGCGGGGCGGGGGGAGAGTTTATTGACAGCTTCAGTCATCAACCATCTTTTACATTCGATCCGCGTTCAAATGTAATTTGCGCTTTTTTTTGTCACATAAGCTTTATACAACTCAAAACACGAGTCAGGAGGGTCATACGTCATGATTGACTATTGTTTTGGTAAAACAACGTATGCATTACGAAAAAGGTTATAAAGATTGACTATTTTGCAAGCATAATCCGAGATGAGCAATCAGGAGAATAGGAGAACGTCTTGTAATGAATCAAATAACAAATCGAAGTAGACTGACYCTGAGCACTAGAGGTTATCCACATCCTGCGCGAAAACTGAATGAAAATATTCTGAAGTTTTATTAAATGTCTAAATTTTATTGATCCTTGTGTTATTGAACACCATGTAGGCTTTATACAAAGACAAGCAAATTGTAGCTATTCGTGTTAAATTATGATAAAAGGAGCAGTTTACAGTRCAAGGCGAAAATTGATGTAATAATCAAGAAATACAAGATGTTCAATGTTTCATTTCTAAAAACGTACTTATTTGAGCCCACCATATCTATGCAGTCGCTGAACGTAACARMAAAAAAAAAAAAAAAAAAAAAGGACGAAACGGTTTGAGAATCATTTCGGTATTTTAAATAACAAATCATGACAGAGATACCAAACATACTCTCTCCCTCGGCGGGTTAGTTGAGATTTACAAATGTGGTTAGATTACAAGCAGTACAATCTGATTGACAAATGTAATCATTGGGGTCTCTCTGATTATACGGCAACTGGTTGTGATTGGCTAAAATGACTTTCGCCGGAACCATCTACTGATTGAGGATTTCCAGGAACATGTCAAACTATTGAGTACCATCGCRATGCATCGAAGGCGTATGACTACTTTATAGTATAATGTCCTCTTCTGGAAATGAYGAAAACTTGCAGGATTCAATCTTTGAGTCCAAAAGGTTGCGCATCTTCTTAGCAATACAATATTTTTTCCGTTCCAAACTACTAGTAGTGTATTCTCAAACGCTAACAAGGAAATCTGTTAACATTTGGTCAGCTACGATTTCAAGCTCACGCCCCCTCATGTGAGCCCATACAAATTGTTTCAAAAACACGGTTTTTGGATCTTTTTTCAAAATAATGACTATCTAGGCAAAAAACAGAAGTGGATTCAGTTAATTCAACTATTCACGGACTGTATTATATGGATTAGATTGAATTCTATTGAAAAAAAAACACCTTTCTTTTTGAGTTGAATGTACGCTATTGGACGTATTTTACAAGAGAAAATGCATGACATAACCGGGGTCAAGCTAGAAAATCGTCTCTATTTGAAATAAATCAGAACCCGTCAAAAAAACAGAAGTGGATTTGAAAACCCCGGGCTTTTCTGAACATTTTGGTATATAATTCATAGGAATTTGTTAAAATTTAGAACCGTATTTTTGCTGATTTTATAAGCTCATACTATCTGTTGACCTATACATTCGCCTCTTATAGTTTCTTAGGTTTCGTAACCTTGAAAACACGCTAACTACTAGTTCGCGAAGAACAGAAGATTTACGCGTCATTTAGGATGGTAATACCATAGTTGAATTCTGTTCAAAAAAGGTTTCATTTTGCTTTTCTTTGAGGGTCATTCGGAAGTATGGGCTGAAAATAATTTTTCATCTATCTATTTTATCGTTTTCTTTATTTTTTGAAAAAAAAAGCGCTTGGGAAAGAACTTTCTCACTTAGAACTTAGAACCTACTTGTTTGAGCTTCGTAGAACGCCACTTTTGCTCCTGCCCGCAGTGTGGACAATTAATGAAGAAAAACTATCGTCATTTGTAATTTAGCTTTAAGAACGAAAAAGCAATGACTTAAACACTAGACACTTTAAAGATTATACAGTCATCAGCTGAATATCAAGTCATAAAACATGAATCAAGCTCCACTTGTTGTTTAACAGATACGAATTCGAAAATGCGAACATTCAAATTATACGAAGGAAAAGCATGTACAATAAAATATTGTTTCAGTTTTTGCAAGCGTGCTTAAAAATAATTAAAAATGCGCGCCCTTGAGTAGCACACGTGCACTAGTTTACCCGTCACGGCTCGCCTATTTCTTTGACTAATTAGACTTAGGCAACCAATAGCACAAAGTTAGTAATTAGTTAGCTAGCTATCTATTTCACGGGTATATTATTTGCACTCTATAAAATACAATCAATACTCGACCTTTCTAACCTAATAAACTTCAAATATGGTATCTCTATATGCCTCACAATGATTTTCGGACATGCAATATGTATGTGTGATTTTATGTTAGCAAAATATATTAACAGTTTTTTTTTTGTCTTCGTTTATCACAAAGCTACTTTCTTCTTTACCAGTATAATATAATATCAATACGATAATGGCCCTAACTTTTTATCATATGAACTCTTAAATTTATTAGTTAGGACCA